ACAGCTGCACAAATTGGCTGAAAGAGGTGTCTGTGGCGAGCACTTTGATCAGCCGAGCTTTTGCTCTCTTGCGCTCGGTCTGTCTCCATCCCGGCGTCATGTTGCGGAGGCCAGGCCCCTGATCTGCTGAGGAGAACTGGGCCGGGTGGGTCTGATAAGCTTCCACTCACACAGGAAGCTTTTTGTGCAGTCAGATCATGCGTGTGTGCATGACTGCCTGAAGCCATGTCAGGCATGTCAGACACGCATATGGTGTGTATAGTTTCTGGGAATTGGGTGTATTTATTATATCCAGATTTCATGTAGGGTTCTGGCACACTAAGACACAGCTTTTGGGGTTTATGTGAGTTATGTTAAGAGTTATGTGTGCATCAGTGTTGGGGAACATTAGGTTTAAAAGTAATGCTATACAATATTATATTACATATTATAAAAAATAAACAATTGCATCACTGCATTTTTTGTTTTGTTTTGGGCAAAATAACATTTTAAGTTACTTGTGCATTACTTTTGACAAAGTATATATATTTCCATTTATTTATATCATTCATTCATATAATCATATTTTTCTGCAAGCAAAAGAGGAAGTTTTTTACGAATCAGTAGTGAAGCCGGAAGCAACCAGGACGAATTTAATTCTCGAATGAATTCTCGAGCGAATTACATGAAAGAGTGGAATTTTTAAGGCAAACCGATTTACTAATAATTTTGACTTTCCATATGGTTTGTGGGGAAGAGTCAGGGTACGGTTTACAACGAACCAATTCACTAGAATGACTTTCCAGGCCTAGCTTACACATACACTCGACCATTTAAGAGTGTGTGTTTGTTCACTCTTTGGACTCGCAGAAATGAAGCGTTTGTTTACTATAAGTTGGAAAAAGAAGCTTGTTACTGGAAACGCTACAACACATAAAGAACTGTAATGCGAAGGAAAATAAAGTAATGGCGCTACTTTTAGTTACCTATTAACAACACTGCTGGTATGTATGTAATTGTTCATGCAATGTGCTTAGGCCCCAACCTTCTCATATTCATATAAAATCCCCTACTTTTTCATTTGGTACATGAGGCATATATTTCCCTCTATGCACATGCGCACAGTGTGTTTCAATGGCAGTTCTTCATCTTCTATTCCCTGTCTGTGTGTTGTATTCCTGAGAATTCAATGGGTTCATTCATAAGTGTAGCCTGAGGGACAGGGGTGTGTGAATTATATGAATGCAGAATCTATTCGAGCCGCGATAGGCCCATCTGTCTGTCTGTCTGTCTGTCTGTCTTAAAGTCTGTCTGGAGGAAATTGCAGGCTGTGGGGAAGTGCAGGTAATAGATTAATGCCAGGGGAGACTTGCCACTGTACAGCACAACTGACAGCCAATGATTATCGCAAACACAGAGAAAGTGCGGGCCAGACACACACACAGTCCATTACATAGACATCACTAGGAAAGCGCACACACACATAAATAATAGCTCTCCTGCCACAGTCTAACTGTCACAGTAATGTTTCTATATCTGACTACCATGTCTGTCAGAAAATATTGAATGCTCAGTGTGTATGCGGTTCAAAAGCCTCACTGAATCTTAGTTAGGGTAGAAGCCGTATTTAAACTGACGCAAATTAAAACAAACTGTGAGGGATATAAGTACACTGTAAAAAAATCCAACTTTCGAAAAGTTCTACTAACCAATGTAAAAAAGTAGCCTGAACAAAGAATTTTTATTAGGAGAAGTCAGTTTAATTTTTTTGTGTGAACTGAACAAAAATACTCTAAACATGTCACTGGCAAAAGTTGTTTTGTTTACCTTACTTAGATACTCAAGTATTTGTTCACAACATATCCAAATGTTCTCCCAACTTTTCAAATTGAGTCATCTGAACAAACAATTTTACATTGAACAATATTGCACACGTTCCCAGCATGCATTGCAGCTTGAAAACATTTTATGTTATTTATTATTAAAATATTATTGTTTAAAATTTTACTGGCTTAATTTATGCTGCTGCTGCTGTTGTCGCTGTAAGTTATCTGTCATGTTGATCAGAGTTCATATTTTTACTGATTTAAAATTTGTTGATCCGCACCATGGTTGAGAATAGTGTGCTGAGGTACTGTATATGTGCATCTCATTACAACTTGTGTAATACATTTGTCTATCAGCATAAATATTTGCCTTTAGTTTTAAGAGGCAAATACTACCCATATTATATAGTAGGCTTTGAAAATAAACATTAATCTAAAAGACTGGGGATTGTTAAAAAAGATTAGCATTGCTAAATGCTAAAAGAATCTTTGGTTTCTCTGACAGATCTTTTAACAATCATTAGACTGACTTTTATTCATTAGATGAACTAAAGTTTTTAAGTTGTCGGTTTCTAGTTGAGTTAACCCAACAAGTTGATTGCGATAGGTTCCCTTATTTTTTTTTTGAGTTAGGTCAACATTTTTTTTTTTTTACAGTAGTTGTAAAGTACATTGCTGACGATGATTTAGCTGGCAAAGTATTGAAAATACTTACAATATACATCCAAACTGGAGTCGAAGCTGCACGTGCAGTGCGTTCTCTGGACCAATCACCTGTGAGCACAAGGCCAGACTTCAGAAGTGATGGACGGATTGAAATTGAAATATCGATGCTCTTGTTGTATGGATAGTATCAGTCTTCACATAAACATTGATCCTAATACAGATTATTATGCTACTTATATTACTTATATTTTTATATTATATTAATACCACTGATCTATATATAATGACTGGATCGGTCATTGCGTTCTAAACTGCCGACAGGCGGTGAAGCCACCGGAGGTGTTCGAGCCTGTTTGAGCCGCCATCTTACTATTCCCTACTGGCAGAGAGCACCATTGACCACCAGCCAAAACACTGACCTAAAATCACCCGATTTGAAGCGAATCAGTCTCACAGGATTTGTTTTATGTTATGTATATGTAAATTCATTTTTACTTCAGATGTTATCTGCAATGTTTATGGTCTTTTTGGGCAGGATACCTGATATATTTAAATGGGTGTGTCTGCTGCGCACTTGCCGACACAGGTAACTGATCCAACACAAAATATATATCTTTATGTACTGTACGTAATTATGCAGGAATTATTAAACATCCAAAATCGATTCAAATATACAATGAATAATACAAGCCTCTGTTACTATATTGTTCTATGTTGTATTGAAATTAAAAGTTTACCATGCATCGTCTTGGAAATAAAGCTTCATGTCTTGAAGTCCGTACCATATGAAGTCAGCGTTATTTCTCTGAATAAGTTATGATGTGTATATTTTTAATGTCCTGATTGAGCAACATCTATTTCAGACTCTTCAAGATCGCGCAAATATGGCGTTTCACTAGCATTACCGTTTCCATGTAAAATATTGTGTATATATTAATAATTAAACCAACGTTTAAATTATTACCTGCTTCAAAATTAATGTTGTTAATGAAATCATTGTTGAAATAGGCAATTTGCAGTTAGCCTACATTAAATAACATCTATTTCAGACTCTCCAAAACTGCGCTAATTCTATGGAGTTTTATTAGCAGTATATGTGGAATTAATCGTTAATTTAATTAATTAATTTAACTTTTAAATCATTATCTGCTTCAAAATGAATGCTGTTAATGAAATCATTTTGAAACATTTGCAGTCAAATAATAAAATGAATAAAAACACTATAACAAAATTACATAAACAGTGAAATAACTGTACAAGGCGAATTAAGGTATGTGTATACAAAGCATAAATCTTTATTCAGATTTCAGAATGAGCACTTTGTAATTTTTTATACATATGTTAAGGATTTCGTCCGTCGGATGTTTATCATGTTCATCTGATGTAGGCTACGCTACTGTAATGTATATGAACGTAACTTTTTAATAAGCAGGGGAAATTCCAAAGTCCCTTTAAAGGGTTAGTTCACCCAAAAATGAAAATTAGCCAATAAATTACTCACCCTCAAGTCATCCTGGGAAATTCCCGACATTAAACAAATAACTGTTTACATGCTTAGGACGTTTACGTTGTAAGAACAGGGATACTTAAAACATAAAAACGCTGACTTGTTAGGTGATGTTTTCTCATGAAAATCGTATGATTTCCTATTAATTCAATAGAATGTATGGGAATACTAGGGAATGCCAATATGGCGGCACGGCGGCTTCACTTTAATGACATCATGAGCATTAATACGTAAAAATTAACTTTGCTGTTTCCAGATAATGGCGTATGAATGATAGGGACTATTTCTTCTTCCGCCGAACGCAAGCGGAAACGCGAGAACAGTCACAGACAACGCATGTTCAAGAAGAGAGCAGAGTTTGCTAGAGCTTGAATAAGTTATTTTACTTAACTAAATAACGACCAAAGACAATTTATTATAGACTAATCTGTTTTTGTGATGTTGTAACTGACAATTCAGAAACCAGGACCGGAATTCTATTAAAATTTTTGCAAATACATAGAATGGAGTAAGATAATTTGCATCTTAGACTTGTTAACATTTCAATTATTACCTGTCTTTATGTAAAATAAAATTAAGCATAGCAAATTTACTTAAAATAGGCTATTACTGAATAGTAAAGTATATTTTATTCATGACATTACTACTGCTAATTGTCTTTTATAATATTTCTACAATATTACTTACTGCACTTATGTGGTTGGAAACCAAATTAAAAGTCCAGTTCATTCTAGATAAGGTGTTAGAAATTACAATTGTACAAGCTATTGAATAGACTGTAGATCTCTCCCTCACAGCCTTGTTTTATATTAAATATGGTGTTGACTCTAAGGTTCATTGACTCATAAACTCTTCACCTAAAGGCATGTGTTTAAGCTCACATGGCTAGAGATGCCCATTAGAGATTAATTTTTGTTATCTTCAAGTCATGAGATCTTGCTGTTCCAAAGTGCATATTACAGTAATCTAATATAAATCATATCAATTTTTAATAACAACTTGTGCCTTTTTCTGTCTTGCAGCAGTCATATGCCCCGCCCCCTCCTCCCATGGCTCCGCCCAGCCCCAGCACCAATAGCAGCAGCCACAGTGCAGCGGAGCAGCTCAGTAAAACCAACCTGTTCATCCGGGGCCTTCCGCCTGGCACCACCGACCAGGACCTCATCAAACTCTGCCAACCGTAAGTATCTTTTCCCAGATGTCCCCTATCGGAGCAGCTCAGTAAAACCAACCTGTACATCCGGGGCCTTCCGCCTGGCACCACCGACCAGGACCTCATCAAACTCTGCCAACCGTAAGTATCTTTTCCCAGATGTCCCCTATCTGTTGCTGCCTGTTATCCTCTGCCAGTCTGTCAGGATTGTCGTTCTATACACCTACATGAGCAGTCACTCTATACCTATAGTTTATAGTTGCAAAGACACAAACAAGAACTCATGCAATCATGTAAATGCACACACAGAAGGTCAGGGAAATTAAAAAAAAAAAAAAAGTCACTGTGCTTGGTTACAGAGTAGAATATGGCCCATAAATGGCGATGGCAAGTCAGCATCATTAGAGTGTAGGGAGGTCATTATGAAACGCTGTACAAGAACCAGGGGGCAGCTTGCATAATCTTCTTCTCTGATGACTCATGCAGATGTAAATCCTGTGTGGGGGCTTTCTGCCTTAAAACCTAAGACATTTACTCCAGCGCCATGACCTTCTGTGAATTTTTCTGAATTTCCTAATTTCACCCATACATCGTTGGCCATGAAAATATGGATATGGGGTCAGCAGTTTCTAAGCAACGTTTAAACCAAGGACTGCTTTGTCTTGTGGACCCTACGCAGATGACTGCTATTACCGGGCTGCAGTTAGTTCCCAGAATTCATTGTGATTGTTTTTTAGTTTTTGTTTTTTTTAGAGGGAAGAGGCAAGAAAAGAAACATTTTCATTTAAAAAAAAACTGAAATGCATGCCACTTATATTGCTCCAAATGTTAACATGTCAAAACTCAGGGGGTAGAATGATGAAACCTCAAGCCACAGCCTCCCACAACATCTCTCAATCTCTCTCAGGGTCTCGGGCTACCATGGTCCTGGTTAGCCCAAGGCCTGAAGCGGGATTGGAATAAAAAATTCATGATTATAAAAGTTTTATTAGCTGCGGCTGCCGTGCCAAATGGGCAGTAACATTTTGGAAAGGTCAAAGGGGTTTGCCTTGGGGCTCACTTCCGGAGCTCAGCAGAAAAAAGAGTGTCCACAAACACACTTTGCATTTTTTTTTTACATAACACCACAGTGATTTAGATGCCATACATGCATATCTGGCACCCTAGTGTCGCGATCTAAAGCGTACAGCTGCGTACATGCATACGCACACATTTTGTGCACATGCACACACTGTTAGTGACCCTTTTCCGTCCTCCGGTGGCTCTGCTACAGTGGCGGGAAGGGCAGTGAAAAGTGCTTCTGTCAGGCTGACATTTCAGAGATCTTCTTGTGTGATTCCCCGCAGAAGATTGGCAGGGTTTTGAGGCTGAAGGTACAATGGGGTTAGACTCTAAAGGAGAAAACGTGGCCTCAGCAGAATCTCAAACCTCAGCCATGAAAATGAGCCCTTCTAGTTTTCAGCTTGCCGTGCTCACAGTTTTTTTAATTAGATTATCTGATAATTGAGGAATGGCACGTTGTCAAGATGCAGACACAGAATGTTTGCTACTTAAACATCCAGATTTAAACGTCTCAGTTATGTTGCATTAGAAGAGGTAAAAAGGTCAGACTGGAGGAGTGTTGCATTTACTGAGACAAAAAAAACTGAAAATATACCAGGGCGTTTTCATAAAAGGCCTGAATATGAATCATGAATTATTAATGAAGGCCTTAGGTGAATACATCGTCATCATGTTTATGTGCTTTCATTATGCATCTGCAATTGTGTGTGTGTGTGTGTGTGTGTGTGTGTGCATGTTTATGTGGTTTATGAGGACACAAATTTGTATAACATGGGTATGACATAGGTATTACAACGAGAAGGTGATTTATGAGGACATTTTCAGTGTCCCTGTAATTCAAAAGGCTTATAAATAATTCAGAATTGTGTGTGTGTGTGTGTGTGTGTGTGTGTGTGTGTGTGTACGTATGTGTGTTGGTGGAAACCAGAGGGCGGAGAGTCATGTCTGTGAGCCAGTTCATTACTTTTCCTTTCCATGATTCGATATCATGGAGTATTAACCCTCAGGACACAGCATTTTACAATACCATTTAAAATAATTGCATTTCAGAGCCCCTCATTATGTCTCTGATTGTAATCTAATGCTACAGAGAGAAAGTGAATACAATCCAACTCAATTCTGCTCACACTTGAAGCAAGGTTTTAAGGGATGAATTAGGAATTTCATTCCAGCTAAGTTCTGTATGTTTTTTGCCAATTTGTCTCTTAGTATATGTGCACCGTTAAACGTTTTTATTGACCTTGCAGATGAAAACGAAACTTATGCAAAAATAAATGTGCTGTGCATCCCCTAACTATTATGTTTTACCTATTAATGTCTTGGCTAGTTTGATTGTGCTTTATCTACAAACAGGTAGTAGGACTCTATATGTTTTTGTCATTTTTAAGTTCATTTTGCAGTATTCACAGATTTTCCCACATCAGTAGAGAAAATGCAAAAAAAGCTGCAGAGTAAAATTCCTTGAGGACAAATAAAAAATGCAGACGAATTAAACATACAGTGATAGTATAGAGCTGTGGTATAAAATTAATGTGGATAGCACGTCTTTTCTATTTTTTATTTAATTTCATTTTTTTTTATCTTGTCTTTTATTTAATGGGAAATGTTTTGGTTCATGTTGAAAACTTTTAACTTTTGATTCTGAATTTGAAACCCTAGAAGAGACAGATGCAAGATTACTAAAATGGCTTTTTTCAAGAGCAAAATCTAGGGAGCAGGAGATTTCATTTGCTTTCCATTTAATCTCATTGCTGTCTAGGAGAAACAACTTGAGATATAAAATTGATCTCATTAGTGTTTTTCTTTCCTGTGTGTGTATGTGTGAGTAAGATCAGAAAGTTATTATATTGCTTCCAATGGTATTTGGCATTCTCAGTGGTTCTCATTTTCCTGGTTTTATTCTATACTCCTCTCCTATATATATAAAATAGCTAATTTATTTTATATTCACTGAAAAGCATCCAAGGCTTGCTGCCCAAAAATGGCACCCCCCTCACTTGTTCTCTGTCTTTCAACCTGATTGACTAACTGAGGCAGTGGAGGAATTGCCCTTGTGTACAGGGCTGCCATATCTAGGGGGGCCTCTGGGGTAGGATCTCATTTTCAGTCGGCAGAACCCCCCCTGGGCTCGAATAACTCATTGCAAACCATTTCTGAGCAAGTGACAAGGCTAGTAACAGGTCATGGTTTTTATTTCAAAGTGTTGCTTTCTTACAGTACATTTGTCGTCTTCATTTTCTTATGATTTATGTCTCCTTCTCACCGCTGTAGAAATGTCTAATCACAGGGAGAAAATGAGGCTAGTATTTCTAATGATTTAAAGACTGATTCATAATTCATATTTTTTAACTCGAGTTTTATTCATGTCGCTGCTGTAGTGCAAAAGTGGGTATGGTTCAAAAAGCATTCAGAGTGTGTGCTGGAATCAACTCTGTATCCAGTGCACTCTCAAAAGTAAACGTTTCTCCAGCGACTTTTATCCAGTTTCACCAAAACCACAATTTAAATCTATAGTATTTAGTATCTTGGTAGTCTGTCCTTCACTCAACGCTATCATATGGTTTAAAAAAACTTTAGATATAGCCAGTGCTTAATTTGTAAATTAATAATTGCCGGATCCAAAACAGCAATTAAAAGGCGCTGTGACTGACACTGAGAATACAACTTCAGTTTTCCCGGAACATTCAATGACGTCACTAAACGCGAAGAAGAGCTGCTGTGCTGTAGCTTCAAATTTTCAGCATGTCTAGAACAATTCTTACAAGCACAACACGACGTAGCTGTGCGCCGCGGACAGACGCCGAACATTCAATGACGTCACTAAACGGTGATGCCACAATTATAGCATCGTTCACAATTTCTGCATGGACCTAATAGGACATTGGCAGTACTGAAACACCGTCTAAGCTGTTCACCAATCACAACGCATTGGGACAGCTAACAAATCACAACGCATTTTGTTTTTTGGAAGGCGGACCTTCATCAAAGCCGGAACTAATCGAGCCGTTTGTGCCAGGATGGGGAGAAAGGTATTTTAATAATGTAAATTATGTGAAAAATACGAACCACCAAGCATGAGAACATGTTCTAGTACACCCCCAAAACAAAATCAAGACTTTGTAAAAGAGCATAATAGGACCCCTTTAAGGAAAATGTATATCTAAGATAGGCTACATTAAAAATAACAAAATTTGTTTTCATAAAAATAAAATTCAATCACAGTATATATATAAAAGGTATAGCTTAATATGCGAAAAATATCTGACTTAAATAATTAACAGTTTTAAAACAGATCGAGGCACGGCACTCCACAAACGCGCATCCTTGCTTTATTTTACAAAAGCACAAATGTTCTGTTGTCATTTTGAGTGTGCAAAAATAAAAGTAAACACTTTGTACTTTCAAAATATGTCTTACTCTTATCTGTATGACCAAAAAATTTATATTTTATGTTTCAGCTGTTCAATTGCGCCGGCGCCTCGCGTGTTCACACACACACACACACACACAACACATATTCGCAATTCAAACTTGAAATCGCAGTCTGTTCATTATCAAAATAAAATACAGTCAACCAAAAATATAAAGGTTACACTGGTCAATTTAAATAGTCCGTGGTATAACTGGTCCTGTTATGCCAAGCACATTTTTTGCTTATGTGAAGAGGATATTTCTGTCGAACGCACGTGAAGTAAGCCTACAAAGCTTCTACATTATAAATAATAGTTTAACATTCAAATACATTGCGAATATGGTAACAGATTTGTGCCAAATGAGAGAGGTACGTGAGCCCAACGCCTGGTACTTTCAGTTTCACTTTGTTTTGGTTTCTTTAGCTTTATATATTTTTATTTCATTCTTGTTCTGTTCTGAATACCGTTACATTTAATTGATTTGTTTTGGAGTGAGCTATACTAAAGTATAGCTATGTTTATAGTGTTTATAATGTTTATACGTTATAATAT